GCCCGTTCATGTTCTACAAAGAAAGGCTTGAATTTACAGCAAAAACCTCAACACTCAAAATTCGGTAAACGCTACATATAATGATGAGAAACATTGCTCGTATCGCAGCCACGCGGGAGCGGAGACTTGGGGTGGTATGTAATCGCCCGTTCGATAAGTTACTCGGACGATACTTTCCGCTTCATAGCTCGGTGCTCTGGGGAATCATCTTTTGGAGGCTCTACTATCCTAGTATTGTAGCACAATGAGCAGCAGCACTTTGCTGTAAAAGCTGAAATAATTCGTTATTTGTATGATCCCGAACGGGATCTTCCACTAATCACGCTCATTCGCAAAGTTATTTATATCCGCAAAAACTCAATGAAAACGTCACAGAGTTTTGCTGTCGATTTATTACCACAGTGCTACGCATGTTTGTGAAAGAAATAAGTGAAAATCAAGTTGACAAAATCTTTGATGAATCTGTGCTCGCGAGCTGGGCTTTATCGAAAGATTCAAAACTTGCACGTTTCATCTGTGCTACCAAACGCATGCGTAGCACTGTGGTAATAGATCGACAGCAAAACTGTGTGACGTTTTCATTGAGTTTGCGGATATAAAGAACTTTGAAAATAAGAGTGGTCAGTGGGAGATCCCGTTCGGGATCGTACAAATAACGAATTACAGCTTTACAGCAAAGTGCTGCTATTCATTGTGCCATATCACTAGGGTAGTAGAGCCTCCGAAACATGAGCGACAAGCAAGGACACAGATCCTTAGAGCACCAAGCTTTGAAGCCGAAATTACTGTTCGGGTAACTTACCCGCACGGGCGATTGATACATACGCCCCTGGTGCACCCGATTCTGCAATTGATAAGCCTATAGGGGAGCTCATAGGAAAGGGATGAAATTTTGCACCAGAAGAACCCAAACTACTTGATATTTCATGTCTTACGGGCTCAGAAAGGCAAAAATACCACTTGGTCACATATCAAAAATACCACTTGGTCACTCAAAAAAAGCAACTTTTGGTAATTCCAATTACTTTGCTATGTCGTATACAGGTTGTTAATGGTTATACAACTTTATTGCCTGACGTTTCGGCAGGACGCCGTCTTCAGAGGCTGAAAGGTATCAGTTACAGTGATATACGTTCTGAGCCGTCAAATATCTCCTCCTAGCTGTCATTCGTTTCGTCTCAAGCATAGCATAGCAATTGGAATTGTTCATACCAAGAGAAACCATGCCCAGGTTCAAAGACAAGAGGACTCACAAGATAAATTTTGGTAATTTTTTAAGGAAGCCAGAAGGCAACAAAAAATCGCATCAATTTGCAAGCGGATTGCATCATCTGTTAATCTGTTATATATCTTATTGTTAGCGCTCACGAGCAATTCGCACCAGGAACATAGCTGCTGGAAGGAGGAAGCATTTCTGCATGTGATATTTTTCGATATGTCTGTTCATCAATACTTTACGGAATTTGCGCATTGAAGGAACTTTTGCGCAGACCCATATTGTTCACAAATCACGTTTGCAAATCTCATACATACATTCTATTTTTGAGCAATCTCCATTTGAAATTTAGTCTTGCTCTACAATAGGTCAATGTTGTTGTTGTTACATGTTATACAATGTTTCGAACTCCCGAATGAAGAAGCCGTGAGTATTAGTGTCACTTTGCACACAAATATACACTACTACCTTACTTCTAATCGTATACAGGGCTCCTAAATTGCAGTCGTTTGCACCAGCGGTCGCGCGACCGCGTCGCGCCCGGGCATCAATGGCGCCGCCTCGATTGATGGCGCCGGCGCCGGCAAAATGCCCGGGCGCGACGCGGTCGCGCAACCGCTGGTGCAAACGACTCTGCAATTTAGGAGCCCTGTATGCCGCTCTTTGTTTACTTGAAAACGAGGAGACAAAGGCGGACGTATTTCAAACACAAAACCTGATATGGATATTGTTCTGCAATCTCAAATACTAGAACGTAAAAAGAAAAATCGTGAGAAAATGTGAAGGAAGCTGCATCAATAAGTTTTGGCTGCAAGGAAAGTATTGATCGACAGTACAATTAAATTCCTTGCAGAACTACAAACCTCAAAGTCTGGGGTAGAGGACTATATGTCGCCGAATTTGGAAGAGTCCCGCGCGGATTCCCTGCAGGAACGCATGTCCGCGCATATACTACAGGGGTGCGTATTTGCCGCAAGTGACCGCGGGAACCGCCCGTTTTCGTCGACATATAGTCCTCCACCCCGAAGTCTCTACATGATCTGCAAACAAAAAAAAATAGTAAACAAATTCTCTACTCTACAAAACAATGGATCGAGAACTTTTTCACATGGACGTCATCTCTCGTTGGTATTCTGAGACGTACTCTCGTCTGCCAACATCCAAAGTGGCGAACTTTCTCTCCCTGTAACAGAAAACATCGCGATTTGTGACTGAATGTTGACTGCTTCTTCAACACAAAAAAATAAGATTGTTTTATTTGTTGCTCATCCAAGAAGGCACTTTCGAGCTGAAGATCACTAGATGTCAAACAAATACCATTGAATTAGTCGCTTTTAATTTGTAATCTTTCACGAAAAGCTCAAGAACGTTCATTAGTGCTATTTAGACGATAGGTATTTATTGACAAATTCGAATGGCATATATCAAGAAATTGAGAGTCGTAGAATGAGATAATGGAACATTGTGAAAAATGAGAGGCCATTTATAAGAAGATCCTAATAGTTTCGTTTCTGCGCCTTTGATATTGCTGCCATATCCTAAAAGTGTCGAAAGACTGATAGGATAGATATATAGTAACAAATTTGCCACCATAATAATCTGTAAAGTATGTCTTTTATTAGGTTATCAAGTAAATAATGTCGTTTGTATTTGCTTGCCTTAGCAAGCAGCCAGCCTCAACTCAAGCAAGGGCAAGGAGGCTACGATGCCAAAAAATCGAAAAAAATTGGATCTCCGCCCAAAATAATGTTTGCGGACCTCTCACTCGTCGACGTCCTTACTTTTGATATCAGACATCCTTATGCGGGTTGCTGTATTTTCTCCTTAACTGAAAACCGAGAAAATGAAAATTTTCGTGTTTTCTCAAAACAATACTGAGCCGTTCTTGCATAATCAATTCTATAGTACATGCCTAAGCAAGGATAACTATATTTTTAGCCTATCCCGAGGTAGTCTCCAAAAAATGTTGGATTTGGCTTTTTTTCAGCAGTGCTAAATTCTACATTTTTTGAGTAGAACTCGGGATAGGCAGAAAAATTACACTTACACTTATCTAGGCTTGTAGTATAGATTTACTTATGTGAAAGCGACTCAGCATTGCTTTGAAAAAACACGAGTTTTTTTTTGGTTTTCCCAGTTTCTCGCCAAGGAAAAATACAGCAACTGCGTATGAATGTCTGATGTAGAGGTGTATCGTCGACTCTTGACCGCACGGACTGCTCAAACGCTGCGGCGTGGCTGAATTGTCGCAAGAGCACGACTTATACAATGGCAAATTTGTGCTGGGGCAAGCGTTTTACCTCGCGCCGCGTGCTTCGCAGTGATGTCCAGTCCGTGCGGTCAGCGAATCAACTATAGATGTATGCAAGTAAGGGTCCCCAGAAATTTCGTGGACAGAGATCCGATTTTTTTCGATTTTTGGGCTTTTAGAACTTTTTGAATCATGAACCAAACTTTTTCGTGGATCGAAGTTGGCGCGAAATCATGAACACCACTTCACAGAGCTTGCTCTGCTCAATCAAAAAGTATCCGTTGAACATTCTTGGGTTAAGCCTGGTTGTTTTGCTAAAGCAAGCAAATAAAAACGATATTAGATAGATAGCAAGTAAAAACCATTCTCTTGACACCTAATAATTTTCTGCTTTCCCGCCAAATGTGCAATCACTGCGTAATGAAGTCCATACAGCAGTGAACATGTAAAAATGCACTTCGTGAGTAATTGCATTTTCTAAGCTTGAACTTGACCGAAAAATGGAAGAAAACGCATTTTTGTCATGGCTACATCATCAGAAGATGGTGCAAAACTCTTTCAAAGATTCAGATCCAAAAAACCGAGAGCTAGTTTGTTTGTTTTGCAATGTCCAATGAAGATCCGGCTCATAGAAACCTGCAGCTTGGAGGGAGACGTGTATAGAAATAGCGAATGTCGTTGCATGAACTTGGAGTGCCACATAACAATATAATATTCTTTGCGAAAGCTGCAAGGTGGAAAAAGTTAGCATAAATACCCCTCAATATGTCGGATTGGCATGTGCGAGGTACTTCAAACGAGTCCTGTGGCTTGGACTACTTATAACAAAAAATAGATCACGAACTTTGAGAGGCGACATCGTGATAAATCAAGAACAAGCATTAGAAGCATGGTATAAACAGGCAGTCATACTGGGTGATGACAATTTGATGTAATTGAGAAAATGGCATATTAACAGTCTTTGCATTTTGATCGAGATGAAAGCCGGCAAAGACACATGTAATCAATGGCATAAAAGATTGTTTTTACATTTTCTATTTGCTGGATAGCGGTACTGCAGCATTTTTTAACGGCCCCAAATCACGTGTTTGAATAATTTCTCCGATTTGTTTTCAAAACCAATCAACAGAAAACTACGTCCAAACCACTGTTAGACGAAGAGAGTTGCAATTTTCTGTTTGCAAAATTAGGTACTTATAGCCTTCTTTGCTCATTTTCTGGTATAAATTCCATAAATCAAGCTATCGGTACTTTCTGCCTAAGTTTGAGTTAAGCGCTGATTGTATGCTCAAACTTGCACTTTGTAATCACTCTTTCTTTGCAACATAATTTATCGAATCCTCGCATGCAAAGGATTTGGGAGAAGCATTTGGAGATAGCGTTTTATGTTGCACTTAATGGAATGCAGCTCTTTCGATAACCCAAAATAAATTTGGATGATTTACTTTGATATTGTTAGCTGAGCTAACCAGGACACATATAAAGCATTATAGCCTAATTGAGTACATGACTGCAGCAAATAACTCACAAAAATTATCTAGTGGTGGCATAACTTACTACTTTAGTCTCCTTGAGCACTTCATTCAAATCTTTTACACTCCTTTCTGCCGCTTCTATCACGTTATTGGTGTACGTATGGATTGAGGAATCGTAAGTTACACTAAAAAAGAAAACTAATTACTACAACGAAGATTTTTGGAAAAGATCTGAACTGCTTACGTGTATGAGACAATCATTACAAAGTATTTTCGTCTGTCTACTTTTTCATACTTGTTCTCCGAGCGCTTTGCTTTCAAATATTTTCGTACCTTCACTTCCAAGGGGCAACTGTATGTCTTGAAAATTTGTACGTTAGATGCATGAAAACGCAAAGGCGAAAAAAATGAAGATTTACAGGTTCTACTGTATCCCCTCTCGCGAATGTATTGACCATTGATCTACATAATGGCCGCCGATATTGAAATCTTGAGCAGTTTTTTGCTGGCATCAAACACTTCTCCGTACCCACGTCTTCAGCAGAGCGTTTCATAGCAGGCAGTCCATCCGAAACAGGGTTTTGAACTGAGCAGACTGAGATAGGCAAGACAATCCACAGACAAAATATTGCCATTTCTGAGCTGTAATTGTACCCTTTTTAAGGATGTAGACCACAAATCAAAAGTTTCCAACGAACTGAAGACTCAAAATGTATCCTTGCAGTAGAGTTAAAGACACCATCCACCCAAGATTTCGACCTTCATGTTCTTGCCGTTCCAGGGCCTTCTCATACCCCTGATTCCGTATATCAAGTCGGAAATCCGCGAAAAGCACGAAAAACCCCCGTTTTCAGAACCCGCAGAGCGATTTCTTCGGCAATGATTGGTTGGGCGCGCACGGATGGGCGGGACAAACGTCACGCCCACTCAGAGAAAAAGAGCCAACGTGGCGAATCTGCCATCCGAGCGATTTTCGAAGCAACTTTCTTGCTTCGGAAGCAACTTTTGCCAGCGCGAGTCGGATAAGTATACAGTTGGGGGCCTCACAAGTGTTAGGCATTAAAATCTCATCGATTCCATTTTGGGTGGACGGTGCCTTTGAAAAGGGAATCGTGCGCTTATACGTCCATCTTCTAACCTATTGATCTAAGGTCTGATTTCGCTATCCTTTATAACCCTCGGCGCATCTCAGCTAGATCTATGTTCAAAAGAATGCGCGGCAGTGTTCAGGATTCTCAAAAGTTTTCGAGATGAGGATGTGCTCTCTGTTGCCTCTTCTTTCTCGAAGGGGAATCTCATCAAATTGTCATTAACTATGGCAAGGCTATCTACAAAATAAGAATACTCACTGACCGACTATTAATAATGAATGGGGTGTATATTGATACATGCGTTTATAGATGTTGGTTCGAAAATTGCCTTCTGCATCAGTGAAACGACGAAACAAATGAAGTTATGACTGATTTCTCCAAAGGAACACTGTAGCGGAGGGTCAACGCTATTAATGCAAGATTATCCTGGCCTTTTAATTGCTGACTCTGAATTGATAAACCCAAACGCAACAGTACTCTGCTCCAAACTATATTGCAAGCATCATGTTAAATTATACAAACACCGATGATTTCGATCAAAAAAATGCACAGATTTTCCCTTAAAAAACTTTTACAAATTCTCTTAGAAAACTGTTTCGCAGACTGCGAGGGCCGATTTGGACAGGTGTTGAGTTGCATCATATGGGATATATCACATTTCAAATAGCCACTATCATCAAGAATTTTTACTTATAAGCAAAGTACCGGGCTATCCTCTATGACTTTTCATGCCTTTCACACAGAGTTTGCTACTCAGATACTAGCCACTGATTTTGATTTGTAGAGATTTTTACAATTGTGTAGGTTTGCTTCAAGTTGGAAATGAAAATAAAGATATCAGAAGAAATAAAACTCACGCAATCATCCAAATGAAGACTACTTCAAAATTGTGGTGAGACGATACTTTCGACGTGAGGTTGAGAGAAGCTGACGTTACGTACTTGCGCTGTACTTCGTGGCGGCTGATGAAATCGAGTAACTCTCTCCATTAAAAGTAAGCTTCACACAATATGTATTGTGACACTGTTTCATGTTCAATGCTACAACAGATGCACTTTTTGAACTACCAAGAATGCCAATTGGGCTTTAACACCTTAGCTTCAGACTGCTAGTACAAAATCACGCTTTTCATCCATTGCACTTCATATGCACGTATTGCTGCACAACCTTCTACAAAATTTGCAAATTGAGCGTGAACGAACAAACCTCGAGCTTTTTTGCCATTAGAAATGAAAATTGAATGGACGAACTTTTGAATACTAAATTACCAGCTGGCAGTTACAATGGTCACGCTCAGAGAAAGATGTGACAGGACGCAGTGATGCTGGAAAAACTGGTAAGTCTAGTTGGACAAGTGTTATGTGTAAAGTATGTACATATACTCTTTTAGTCAGACAAGAGAAGGTTGTTGGCGCCATCAATTTTTGCTTCTGTCATTAGAACTTACAAGGGGAGTCAAGTAGCTTAGAATCGAGTTTTGAGATCTTACAGCATATTTGGAATCATCTTCGAACGCTGATTTCAAATATTCTGTCCATGGCTGCAGCGCCTTATTCTGATGCGAGTTATGAGCTTTTTTTCTGCCCGAAATCGGCATACTGTTGAACATGGAAAAGCTGCCTGTAGACGAAATTTGCCCTAAAAGCTGCCTTGCTGGGATACTAAGATAATATCGGATTGAATCTGTCGTTGACAAAAAAATTAACGCAGTAATTCAGCACTTAGATGATGATGCCGTAATGCCAGTAGGTCAAAGATTATGCATATTTTACGCAGAAAAATTTATTAACTTTCTTTCGAATGTTGTGCCGCAGTTATAAACAGCATGTTTGGAATCGCCGTTCAAAGCCGATTTCAAGTATATGTGTCTCATCTCAAATCGCGAATCTGAGTTGCGTGACTTCTCTTCTTAGTCAAAGCTTATATTCTTAAGCCTGGCTTTGATTCACGTGCGCAATTGCTAGGCAGCACTTCATTCCGTTGCAGATATGAACAGAGGTGCGATAGTCGGAGCCCGATTCTCCGCCTACCTTCACTTTTGAGCTGGTACAGGGTGACCACCTTCACTTTTGGGGGGCCCGGCTCCACCTATCGTCGCACCTCTGGATATGAATCTCCACCTACTTTTTCGAAGCCATTATTAGGCGATTTATTGAGTGGATGGTGATATTTTTGGAATGGCATTATTTCAATTATTTTGTCTACTTATTTATTGCACTTCAGCCAATAAAACAGATAGAAATCTTGAGTCGGTTCGAAAGCTCGTGCCGTTTTTCAAAGCTGTCCTCAAAATAATGTTAGGCAAATGCTTTAAAACATTTGATGTAAAGAAATCCTCCTTTTTCAGGCCGTCACATTTCGTTCCGAAATCTCCAGTGATCGCTCGAAAAAGTGTAAGAATCTCCAACGCATGGTTTTCACCTACTCTAAACTTAGCTAATTTCTGACATTTTTCCTTCTGACTTTCATAAGAGTTCATGGCCATTGGATATAGTAAAATGTGCAATACGATGAATTATTTAGACATCTCTTGGCGGCTATTAAGTAGTTCGCAAACTTATTTCCCAAAAGTTTAATTTTGCGAAGTCGAAAATAGACAATTGCTTCAAACAACAACAACTTCCGGATTGAGTTTTTTAGGAATCGAAAAAATATCACTGTTTTTAAAAAGCAAATTGACCGTGAAATATCAAAAATCGCACTCACTGTGTACAGCCCTTATAGACTCTACAAAGTGAGAAGGAAACACAGCTATCAGAAGAAAGGAGAAAAAGCTGGACTAAATGAGAGTCCAGCTTGGCGGGCCGATGGCCCTATGGCGAGCCGCTTCAAAAAATAATTTTAAAAATTTGAAAAGCCAGCTATCGATGCCAAAATTCGCTTTATCGCACTTTATTTACTTTATCCAGCTGTCATCAAAGCATTTTTGAAAAAGAAAATGAAGATTTCAGAAAGTAGCTATAATAAAAGAACTCAGAAACCATGGGTTGAAATCTGACAATTATTGTCACCATCGGAGATCACCCTCTCTGGCCCTTAAACGAAGCAGCCGCAGGTTTCAGCACATTTCATACTAATACCTTCTACCTAGTGTACCAGTACTTCTTATATCTTCATTTGATGACTTGGAAGTCTGTGACCATTGCTTTTTCCCTGGCGAACAGTTTATTTTTTCACTTCAAAAAATGCTCATAGGATCCCTCTCAAACAGGGCCCGGCAGGAGGTGGCATTTCAGAATTTTGAAAACGATATCCCCTTTGAAGCCAAAATTTCTTACGACTTCCCCTTTGACCCTATTTTTGACCCCCGTAAGTCCCTGACAAACAGATATACACAAATAATAAGATGGGCGGCCTCAGCGCTTATTATAGTAGTACTACCTGGCTTTCCTGGTCCAGCCCGGGTCATCGTTTGAGGGGATGGCCAAAAACCAGACTTTGTCCTTCTACCTTCCCGTCCATTTGGGCCATATTCTCCACCCCTTTCTGCAGTATCAATACTGCACTGCAGCCCTCCTTCTTACCCTCTGCACGAGCTTACCCCAGAAAGGCTTATTGGAGTGACTGCACCTTCTAATTTTAAAGTGGAAATGAACTTCACTGCATTGTTCACACTAAAATGTGCAAGCAGTTTGTTAGCGGCTGGTAAGTGTTCACTTTCCTTGCAAGGTGCCATAAATCATTAAATCGATAGAAGAATTCCACGAATTGCTTCGAAGGGTAGCTTAAAACCATCTACCGAGGCCGAAAACATATGTTTTCAAGGTTTCAGCTCAATGGGTTCATCCGAAAAGGAATCTATAAAAAACATAGGATCAACATTTGACAAACTTTGACGTTTATATATCTAAGACACTACTATTTATTAGTCAGCTGAGAAACTTTACAATTTACAATAACCGATTGCGATTGGAGCGCGCTTTCCGAGGCCGATCATAACGCTGTGAACCCTATTTGGGGCTGTATCGAAGCGGTGCCTTGGTGGTTTTGGAAGCGGATTTGAACATATAGTAATACTCTCGACCTAGTCCACATTTATGTAAAGAAACCGGGAAATTATGTGAAGGGAAGCAGGGAGCCACCCCAGGTTGCTCCCAGGTGGCGCGGGAGCCACCTAATTTCGAAAAACACTTACCATTTTTTAAATTCACGTAAGTCTCTCATAATTCTTCATGCTCATGGTCCTCCAACTATACAGCAAATTTGGTGCCATATCGTTACTTGTGCATTGAAAACGAGCCTATTTTGTTTTTTTCCTCTTACAAGAATTGCGATTTGAATTCCCGCCTGCGGGCAGGCTAGCGATCGGAGCACAGAATCTTCACATTGCTGGAATCTAAGTTCATAGGACAGTAGCATCAACGAGGAATGATGAATAAAGAATGATATGTGCATTGTTTATCGGTCCCAAAATACGGCTTCCCCTTTGCTTTTTCGGGCCAAAAACGATATCCAGCTTGTGAAAGCGCCACCCCCGCCGGCCCTGGGCGGATAACCTCTGTTGCACTTGTAATATTAGGTCGTTCCGAAAGTCCTTCCCCTTT